TGATGAGCAAGTTTACTTAAAAAGTGCTTGACATGCAGTTCTGGGAAATCGTTACCGTGAATTCTATCGTATTACCGTGACTAGTTATTTTAGAGTTTGATAAGTGTTGTCTGCATCTCTTGCCTTATCTAAAGTAGCATAACTTGAGTATCCATCGTTTACGGCGCCTTTCGGTGACTGGTAGCGGTTTTGCGGCACAATTTTAAGATCAACCTCTTCGTAAATTTGATCTGCATTTGTATCTTGAACACCGGTACTCGATCCAGCATTTCTGTTACCTAACCATCGTCGACGATAATACACCACAGCAGATGCAACACAAAGTACAACAATAAATACAGCCACGACAATGATGAAAGGAATATACCATTTAGCTCCGCCCCTCGACCCTTTGGATGGTGTTTTTTCTGAAAATAAAAGCCGCATTATTGTGATTTTAATATAATTAAGGTAGCGTTTAGAGAATTGTGCTGTATATTAGCCATTTTCCAATCGACCAGAGTACTAGGTCTATTTGCGAACTGCAAAGCATTTATATGGACTGCAAGTTAGGCTTAACCAATCGGTGGTCATAATTATTTATAGCCCTCCTTGCATTTTTACGAAGAATTATTTCGTGTTTTTCTCATAATATCATAATTTGACCTAACTTGTTTACCGTAATTAAAATCAACCTCAATTGATTTCTCATCCGTGAGAGTGTAGCTTCTTCCAACACATATGTATGTTCCATTATCTGTTTCATTGACATTACTGAGAGTCAACACGTTTTGTTCCTGTTCTGTGTCACCAAACTGGACGCCATCTTTATACCATGTCACATTGGCTGGAGGTTTTCCACCTTTTCCTTTACACAAGCATGTTATATCATCACCAAGATTTACTACGATGAAACTGGAACAATTGACTGTTACATTTGGTCTCTCTGAAATGTTAGGCAATAGAAATAAGGTTTTAAATGACACGTTTTTAGACTCGAAGAGACATCGAGTAAACACGTTAAGCCCATGATCATGAATATCATATAAATTCATAAGCTTAATTATTGGGGATTGAATCATTTCGAAACTTTCTTTAATTTTTTATAGTACGAATGCGTATAAATCGCGATTCTTTGAAATTTATTTGCTATTTGGAAGTTTCTCAGGTTTTGGCAAAAGTAGACAATATTTTATTAACAAAGCTTGCCAACCTCGCCACGAGAACGAAACTATTTATGGGCAGCCTAAGGTGCATACTTATGTTTCAGTTCTGCCCGACGATTGAAACTGCATCTACATGCGACCAAGAAAAGTATCGGATAGAACTGAATACATGAATATCAGACATCTAATTATTGCAGTGTTTAAATAATCACCTGTCGGAGAACATTCTACTCCAGCGTCTCGATCATGAGAACACCAAGTACTTCTAACACCCCAACCATCATGTGAACAACTTTCAATATTTCGTTCTTCCCCAGTACAATCAACGTTGTTTAACCATATTGGTCCAGAGCCAGGAATAACCTCACTCCTCTGAAGAGTCCTCACAACGTTGTGGTAACCAAGCTGACGACATACAACCCTGGCATCTTGCAAACCCCATCCATTGTCACAGATTGTTCCCCATTGCCCGTTGTAGAATACCTCAACACGACCAGTGCCATCTTCGCTCAGTGGTCCTTGGAGCCTGAGTGACACAGTTATAGCTGTAAAGGTGTGAAATAATTTATAAACGAATAAATATCTTGGTGATACATTGTTCTGCCTCTGCAAACCAAACGCAAACTTATACACTATTGTGCATGCTTATTATTTTTATATAAAGATTGGCAGATAAGTCTTATTAAAGTATTGGCGCTTGATTTCTTATGCTCATTTCTTTAGTTATACGAACGTAGCTAACTAAATTAGGTCCAATTTTGTTTCAAATTAAATATGACATCTTTTATTCCAGCGCATAAGATTTGTAGGACTTCCTTGGAATCTCTTGAGCGCAAGAAAAGGAAATCAAAAGATGTAATTTTAATCAGAAGATGTAAAACACAGGAGATGCGTATCGAATCACCATTAGGCATATTTTCAGGTTGTACCCAACCTCGTTCCCAGGGGCTTTTGGGACTTACTCCAACCCAGAATCAAAGTAAAAAGCCCTGGAAACGAGGTTAAGGTTGTACCAAGAAACCTCAGTAAGGCTATTGAGATCACGCGTTATATAATAATTATATATAACGTTGCAATGTAGCATTTGGAGTTTGAATGTCTAAGCACCTATTAGGACAAACAGGCGTATAAATGTTTTACTTTTACAGAAGCTATTTTATGCATGATGACAGTAAAATTTGTTTCTACCCACAAATGCATTAATTTATTAAGAATATTTACTATTTACAAATATGGACAGTAATATCTAAATTTACTGCTGAAGCACAATGACCTTCGACATGTCCCCTATTTTGCAAAATATAGCATTATTCATTTTTTTAGTATTTAACATTGTATAAGTTCTATTTTCAGTAACACATCAACTCGATATTCTCAAGACAGATTTATGGTAATTTCAGGCGTTTTCAAAATTGCTTTAAGAGAAAACTAATGATAGGCTTACCAATTTCCTTTTATCAAAGTTTTACTTACAACGTACTAATAAAATTTTATAAGCAAAATGTCATAAACAACATGCAAAGTTTTTATCGCCATCAGATAATTTTCTGTGTCAAATAAATTAATCTGATATTCTATACTACATTTAGTTGAAATAATTTTACCTACCAGTCAAAGAACATTGCACTCCGGCGTCTTGATTATGGTGGCAAGAATGAACTCCCCAACCATTATGAAAACAACTTGCAATATTTTGTTCGCCCCCAGTGCACGAGACGTCCGTCAACCATATTTTTCCTGAGCCAGAAGGAACGCTGTTCCTTTCAAGAGTCCTGGCAGAATCAGGATAACCAAGCTGACGGCAAGCAACCCTAGCATCTCTCAAATCCCATCCAGAATCACAGATTGTTCCCCATTGTCCATTGTAGAATATTTCAACACGACCAATACCATCTTTACTTGATGGCCCTTGTAACCTGATTGGCGCAGTTATAACTGTAAAAAAGATGTAAAGCGTGTGAACACTAAATACGTTTTCTTAGACAGTAATGGGTTACTGCCAATTTAGTTGACAATAGTTTCTTACTTAAAATTCGCTAACAATAAAGAATATCTAATAGAAAATTTTAGATCATTTTTAGCAGAGCTTTCGTAATTTCACTAATGCAGAAAATAGCAGAACTTTCATTTCTTGATTTCTAATCTAACGGTATTTCAAATCAATATTTTCTACTTTTAAGGATCTCAGACAACAACTTTATCTCCATATATTGATCGGTCAACAGATCGAAAAGTATTTTAGTGATGTTGCCATAGACCTATTAAAGGAAGAGCAACATATCTGTAGCGAGTTACACAACGAGTTTTCTTCTGTCAAAATAAGTCCAAAAATATTTGTTTATTTCTGGGTTTTGATTGAAAGAAACATCGCTTTTGCAGCTTCTGAGAGTCCAGCTGAGAAATGAAAGTAAGCATGCATGATTTTGAGAACCTCGCCACAGGCTTCATAATTGCTCTTTTTCGAATAGGTCTATGGTTGTTCTTTTCACCGGTAAAGGAGAAGCATGGAGGAGGGGGGGGGGGGTTAGTGCGGATAGTTTATTAACTCCGAGGTTTTATTGACGTACAGTGATACAGCGATTGCATACAGCATGAAAATAAGTTTTTATAGTAAATTTTATCAATTAACATTGTGAAAGTGTCTGCAAAGTGTTATGTAACAATTTTGCGAGCCTTGAATGAAACCTGAACGCACCATTAAAGTATTTGGCAATTTAACACTTGCATGCACTGACGTAGAGGGGATGCGGAAGATCATTAAGGTGCTTTCCTATTTTAGGTAAAAACGGCCAGACCGGTTTTTCAGTACACACAAAATACTGATATTTTGAAGTTAGTTTCTTATAACTCTCCATTTGAGTATATCTTTATTTACATCTTCCTAGCACAGGAAAAGAAGTTTCATCACCATATTCCTAACAAATCTTGTATTTCAATACAAAATATGACCTTTTAGCCGCCAAAAGGAAATCGCCCTTAGTAGAGCAAATATTCGTTTATTTAGCGTCTTGCACCTGATTGTTCCTTCGTTCTGTCAATTAACATGAAGATATGACCTTTCTGAATACGTATGTGCCAAGTTTGAAGCCTGAACTAGAAAGAAAACTTGAAGAAATCTTGATGGATAAAAAACCTTTTTTAGCCTAACAAAAGAAGCATGCCTAAATGCTATTTTTTTGTAGAAATGTTGTCACACGGAATCCCAAATTGTTCTGTCGTGGTTCGTGAACGGTGGACGGTGCATGAACGGTCGACGCTCGACCGTTTTTTTAGTTTTGCGCATGCCCGACTAACGACTAGTAATCAACAACGTTCTGATTGGCTAGGACGGAAAGTTTGCATTTCAATGAGAACGTCGACGTCAGCATTCAGCAAATAAAACTGCATGTCACTTCGTAAACTTTGGGCAAATAAAATTATCTGCAATTCATAAAGACAACAGATACTCGCGTGACCTAGCTACGACAGTGAAGTTGGTGTACAGTCCGTACTATAAAGATTGAATCTGTGTATTTCTCAAGAAAAATCCGAATATTTGACAGGCTTGTACGTCGCTATACTTTAAATGAATATCAGAAAGATTTTATGTCCAGACATTCGAAACAACTAGGTTGCAGAATTGAAATCGGTTAAGTCTATTTAAAGATTAACTACCAAAAAATGAAATTCCAATCCCAAGTTTGAAATTTCTCTTACAATCAAAGTGCGCAAAAATCCTGAACATGCCCTCTTAATAACATATATTTTCCAACTATAATTATTTAAAGAGAAGTGTTTGATATGTTTTGGCACACGTAATGCGCCGAATAATCTCGTTTGAGGTAATATGAATGACGCATTTTATTAAGTACCGACCTGTTGTAGAACATTCCACTCCGACGTCGTTATTATGAGAGCAATAATGATCTCCCCACGGTTGATGTGAACAACTTGTTATATTTTGCTCTTTCCCAGTGCAAGTTATCTGACTCAACCATATCTGTCCGGAACCTGGAGGAAATTCGTTCCTTTGAAGAGTTTTAACAGCGTCAAGATACCCAAGTTGACGACATACAACCGTAGCATCTCTCATACTCCAGCTATAACCACAGATTGTCCCCCAATATCCATGATAGAGTACTTCAACACGACCAGCTCCTTTTTCACTTACTGGGCCTTGTAACCTTAGCAACACAGGGGTAGTTGAAAAATCTAAAAGGAATGAATGACTATAATTTCAAAAATCCAATGATTATATGAAGTAAAGCCTAAAAGGATAGCTTTTTAATATATTTTTTATTTCCATAGTATAAATTTTAGAGAATAAATAGAAAAACAAAAGTAAAAAGACGACAAGCTGTTTTAAATAAAATGGAACTGCGAGCCCTCTGTAAAACTTCAAACTAACTCTGAACTGCAGCCTCGTACTCTATATTTACTGAATATTAAGCCAACTCTAATTTCAACTTGAATTTCAGAAATTTTTAAGCTGAGATTTTCCTTTCCGTAAATTGCCATTCCAGTTTGGGATTGATCAAGTAGTAGCATTGCGGAAAGACCGAAATATTCGACAATCTTTACCTGTTCTACTACATTCGACTCCGACGTCTTTTGAATGTTGGCAATAATAAGATGTAACACCCCAACCACTATGAGAACACCTTGCTATATCACGCTCTGAACCTGTACAATCAACAGATTGTAACCATACTTGGCCAGAACCAGAAGGAAACTGTCCACTACGAAGCTCCCTAGCAACATCTTTAAAACCAAGTTGACGACATAAAACCCTAGCATCTTTCATATCCCATCCATTATCACAAATTGTTCCCCATGTTCCATTGTAGAATATCTCAACTCGACCAGTGCCGTCTTCACTTAATGGCCCTTGTAACCTGGGCGACACAGTTATAACTAAAATATTATTATAAGTGAAATATTATTTACGCCAGTTATGGTCAGAAAGCTCAATTTAGATTTAGAATGGTATGCTGTTTCTATAATTTTTCAATATTTTCCATAAATTCAATATACGTGCTATGATGACGTTTGGGATGCGTATTTTTGCAGTGCTAAACAATGAACGTTGATTTTATTTCAATTTTTTTCCTTAATAAGTATAATTCAAAAAGCTCCATTCAGCAGTTCGCATTTTAACTCAAAAAGAATTTCGGTATATTCCATTCTTCGAATTGAAGTTGATCTCGTACAGCTAAAGACATTACCTGACCGTGAACATTCTACTCCGGCGTCTTGATAATGAGAGCAAGAAGTCTTCCCCCAATTGTTATTTGGGCAGCTTGTAATATTCTGTTCTTTCCCAGTGCAAGCGACGTAAGCTAGCCATATTTGTGCAGAACCAGAGGGGACCAGATTTCTTGGAAGAGTCCTAACAGTATCCGGAAAACCAAGTTGACGACATACAACCTTAGCATCATTTATGTCCCATCCATAATCGCAGATTGTCCCCCAATATCCATTATAGAATACTTCAACACGACCTATACCATTTTTACTCAATGGTCCTTGCAGCCTGACCGCCACAGGTGTAGTTGAAATATCTAAGAAAATTATATAATTATATATAGTATAATTATATATACTACTCATTATATTTCAACTCTATGTAATGAACAGTCGACGTTGGCTGCTTTTTTGTTATGCGCATGCCAAAATTTTTACGAGTAAAGACTCGTACTGAACGCAAAAGGAGAAAAATTGGTATTTCAGGCGAGAACGTTAGCAAACTGTCATGATTTTACTACGAGAATGTAATAAATATTTTAAGTCTTTAAACATATTTTTTAAGATTATCATTAGTTAATAAAAATCATATTTTAGAGATTTGTAAATACCTCGCGTATAGAGTATTACGAACATTTAGTTAAGTGTCCCATACCCCACCTTGAAAACTTCATAACATGTCACGAGAAAAGGGCTGATTTATAAAACCTGGAAGCGGAACAGCTTCAAAAAAAACAATGTTAGAATGCTGCTGTTGCATGAATCTCCTATATCGTCTTTTAAGTATATTCAAATATCGATTTCCATTTGGCTGTATCATTTTATACTTTATTTCAAGAAGCTATGGATTAAAACGAGTCTCTATTGGTCGTGTTCAAGCTATCAATACAAAAGCCTAGCACAGATGAAATTTGCACGGGTACCCATTTTAGGCGAGCTGATAACCGAGTGAAGGGAAACGGAGCTTTAGTCTGTTTGGTATACGGTTTTGGGACCAAATGATGCCCTAAATATAAGGCTGGAACAGACGAACTGATGACTGGGATGCAACCGCATAATAACTTTCAAAAAATGTACGTTTTGTTAAATACAGCAACTGCATGTTCATATTCTATTTCAAGAAATTATGTCCTAATAATATTGTCATTTTCTAACATTCATATGACGACTTTCTGTATCATGAATTTCAAATACCGACCTGTTGTAGAACATTCCACTCCGACGTCATAATAATGAGAGCAATAATTATCTCCCCAAGGACTATGAGAACAACTAGTTATATTCTGTTCTTCGCCAGTACAATCTACGAAATTTAACCATATCTGTCCAGAACCTGAAGCAACTTCGTTCCTTCGAAGAGTTCTAACAGCATCGAGATAGCCAAGTTGACGACATAGAACCCTAGCGTCCCTTATATCCCAGCCGTTCTCGCAGATTGTTCCCCAAATTCCATGAAAGAATACTTCAACACGTCCAGTACCATTAGAACTTTGTGGTCCCTGCAACCTGACTAACACGGGCGTAGCTGAAAAATCTATGAAAAGAATACAGTATAATGAAAATACGGCTAAAAATATATAGCCTATATAAACTCGCTTGAAAAAGAACGGCGAAATAGTATTGTCGAAAATTATGCTTGCGAGTGGCGAGAAAAGATACATACAGATTTTACTTTTCAGGAAAATCTTTTCAATAAAAAATCTTGTTGTCTGCTTAAGACGTGGAACTTTTCATGCGCCGAATCGAATGCAAATGAACTTAAACAAAGATTTTAGCTGATTAACATCAGGTTCGGCACATGAAATATTCGACGTATGAGACGGGCCTAATTTTAGCATGCGCCAAGCTAGGGTACTAATTCCACTGGGAGATTTGAATTAGCATACGCGTATGACGTATGCCATGAGGCATGCATGGGCCTTGTTCACGCTACACTCAATATATTGTCAACGCACGACTAAAATATAGGTTCCCGGCCGTATTAATTTCGATTGTGCTCGGGTTTTTTAGTAGTAGCCGGCACTCTAATAAAATTGGGCACAGGTACCAATTTAGCCGTGCATGCATGCCAAGAGATCGAGTGTATACTGTCTATAGCTCCGTAATATATGTCATGCACAAGTTCAAGGCAAATGAGACTGCAGTAGTGTAATCAGAAAATTAAATTTGATCTTATAAACCTAAAATTTCGAATAAAGTTAAATTTAAATTTTGTTTCTTTTAAGTTGCGTATTTACCTCAGTTAAGTGCTATTTTAAAAATTTTGTTTTATTAATTTTTTTTCCATTATTCTAAAAAATTGTCTAAATGGGAAATGGTCTATTTCTCGTATTTATAAATATATATTTTGTATTCTTAAGCACCTAGGTATATTTTTGTTCATGGGAATTTATCCCAGAGCCGGTGCGGAACACCGTGCGAGGGTACTAATTCCGCCCGGAGATTATGATTAAACCCGGGTATATATTGTGACAGAACATAGCGGAATCCAAAGTTGTTCAAATTCTATGTTATGGATCTTTGATGGGCTTGTGAGTTATGCGCATGCACGAAATTCAAGTGAGTGGAAACCGTTAATCAGCAACTAACTGATTGGCTAAGTCAGAAATTTGTATTTAAATATAAATAACGCGTGAGCAATTTAATTGGACTGAAATTCTCTATCTTTTTTCCTCAAACAGTTTTTAAAAGTTACACCAATTAAAAAAAGAAACGATTTATACTCAATAAATATAGCTTTCAAATGTGTTAAAACTGTACGTGTCTAGACTAAATTACAGCTGTTTAAGGATGCAGTTTATTAATTTATATATGAGCTTGATACATAGTTTTCATAGTTATAGTTAAACTTTGAAAGGCTAAATATCATCCCTATAGCTTTAAAAACGGTTTTTGAAAGCGTAAATTTGTATTTTAATGTAAACTGTGACTTCAAAATCAAAGCTGAAGTCTTAAATATTGAAATTTTAACAGTTACTTAAGCTGGTAGGGTCTAGTATAAAACGCCTGTAGAAAACAGGTGACATCAACTTCAATGTTATCACTATATTTTGCAGCAAATGGTAAAAATATTAGCAGCGTGGCAGCGTCTTCAAACAAATTCGCGCATCACTGTTGTGGTATAATAATATATCTGCCTAAAATAGAGAAAAAAGAACCTCTCGATGCTTCTATCCTTCGTCAGGAGAGTAATCATATGTATACATATATAGAAATACATGCATGCAGCAACCCCTCGCTATTTCAAACCAAGTACACAATTTCCTGAGTTAACCTGACCTAAACTTATATTATGAAATGACACAAAACTCAAATCAGTCTTATTATATTTTAGCGAGCATATTATAGCTAATGTTTCCATCATTCAATACAAAAATATTCAAAAGCTAGTGTAAACATTGCCCGTTCAATTTTGCTGCATTATACCATGCCAGCAATTAAGTAACGGTTTAAAATCGAAGTTTCAAACGATTAAAACAGTACAAAATTTTCACAGACAAAGAAAAAACTTCAAATGTTATTTTATTCTGTATTTTGCAGTCGACTCCGGCGGCTAAAAGTTTTATACTTTATAAATATAGTGTGTATTTTTTATACCAAAATTCAAATTACACTTTCAAAAACACTTTTTGAAGTTAAAGCAAAGGTGTAATAGCCTTTCACAGGTTTATGCGTTTGCATAAAAAGCTGAAAATTTAACAAATAAACGGCATACAAAGCTGAAAAGTATAGAAATACGGCTCATTCTTATCGCGAAACAAATATGAAATAAACAAAGTAAACACGTACCCTTTGTCTTTGAGAACATTTATAAGTTTGCAGATTATGAATTATTCCTGTTACACGGCTTTGTCTTGACCGTATCCACGTTCATCTTTGCTAACTGTCATGCTTCATATATCTTGTTTCTTCTCGTTTTACTTTCTTTGCACAAGTTTATGAAACGCTTAGCTTTTACAAAAATGTTTACGAAATGACAGTTAATATAAATTGCTCATTGAAATACAAACTTTCTGTCTTAGCCAATCAGAACGTTCGTTGATTACCAGACGTCACTCGCGCATGCGCATAACTTACAAAACCACCCAACGTCGACCGTCCATGACAAAGAATTTGGACAACTTTGGAGTCGCCTATGTTCTACCGAGTTCCGGGTGTAATTCCTAATCTCCGAGCGGAATTAGTACCCTCGTAGGCGCTCCGCGCCCGCTCGGGGATAAAGGGTTGGTATCACTGCATACAAGTGTTAGTATAGAAAGTTAGTAGCTATGTATAAAGTACTGATTTATAGAGTTAATATTATATCGAAGTATCGAGAATTTCTTTGTGTCTTTTAGGCTGTTCGTATACCACATTAGATGCGATGTCACTTCAAGTATTGTTATATGCAAGAAAAACATCGTGATATGGAGTGAAAAACATTCTGGAAAACAAATAGCGAGTTGTTTAAACAGCTTTGGAGGAAATCACTGAAAGGTATACCTTCTGTGGAACATTCAACACCGGCGTCCCTGTAGTAATAGCAAAGATAGTGAATATGCCACCATGGCCGATTATTGTGAGGACAGCTTAGAATACTCTGCTCTTCCCCAGTACATGCGACGCCAGATAACCATGTTCTTCCAAAACGAGGAGGTGTCTCCCAACCTTTGAGGGCCCTAACAGCATCTGGATAACCAAATTGACGACATACAACCCTGGCATCTGTTATATCCCATCCACGATCGCAAATTGTTCCCCAAATTCCATTTAAGAATACTTCAACACGACCAGTACCATTTGAACTTAATGGTCCTTGCAACCTTACCAATACAGCTGTAAGATATTGAAAGATTTTCTTACTCAGCTCTGTATCATATATAAAGTCCCACACACATTTAAACACATGTGTTGATCATTTTAAATATAAATATATATAGAAAAAATATTTATAACTGGAAATCTTGCATTGCCAACTATTACATTCTATTGCGTGTCTCGGATTGCATATGGAAATTAGCTTGAAAATTGCCAGCTCATTAGTAAATGAGGAGAAAATGAAAAGATTTTACTTGCTTTAAGGAGAGAGTTATTCTTCGAATTTCTTAATTCTTCATATTTTGGGTATGTTTCAAAAAGTATTTATAATTTGGTACACGATTTTGGCTAAGGCTAATCGTTAGTAGATTTTCAGTGAAAATTTATGTTGAGATGAGAATTAATGTTCCTGTAGATTTCAGTGTTTATAGCATACCCGTCTACAGTGCTTACGCTGGAAGAACCATATCCTCAAAAGGAAAGCTAAATTAAATTCATTAGCACCTAATTTTTAAAGAAGGCCATATAGATCTTCATATCAGCAACACGGCCCTATTTTGGCAAACGTAAAGAGGAACGCTTATTTTATGAATTCACCATTGTTATTTCTACAATTATGCTATATAAGTTTATATTGCAAGGTAGTTTCTGTTCATTGGTGCATCCACTATTTAACAGCAACGTTTATCGCGGTCTCATTGACCAAAATAGTTGGCGATGATTCAAGATCTAGATACTGTCCTTCGTATTCGTAATGTAAATGTTTCAGTATATACCTCGTATATACCTATATATTACTCGTTAAATAAGAACGATACAGTAATATAAACAAAGATCAAAGATGAATAAATATAATATTCACATGTACCAAATAGTGTTCTTCTTCGTCCATTCTCCGTCGATATTTTTCGTGTCAAAAATAAAAGTGTAAGCTTGTTTTTGTTCAAAAATATGAGAGTTGGACCGTTACCACGGCAACGGTCTAATACTGGGGGATTCCAGACCGGCAAAGAACCAATCAGCGCACGCCATTTTAGTCACGAGACCGCGTGCCATATAATAAATAGTATATAATTATGACACTTTATACCTTTCGAAATACATTCTACTCCGGCGTCTTGATAATGGGAACAAGAATGATCCCCCCAACCATCATGAGAACAGCTTGTTAAATTTTGTTCATCACCAGTACAAACTATGTTCGCCAGCCATATCTGACCAGAACCAGAAGGAAACGAGTATCTTTGAAGTGTCCTTACATGTACATTATCAGGATCATAACCAAGTTGACGACAAACAACCCTAGCATCTCTCATATCCCATCCATAATCGCAAATTGTTCCCCAATATCCATGATAGAATACTTCAACACGACCTGTACCATTTGCACTGTGAGGTCCTTGTAATCTTAGTTTCACGGACTTGATATCAGCTGGGTAATCTTTAAAAAAAGTTGTGTCAGTCTGTTTTTGAAACTGGGCTGGGCCATATGTAATAAGTTTCATCTAATTTTGAAAATAGCCCAGGCCGTAACTATACATTTGATGTAGTTTAATTGGGGGGAGTGTATGTGGGCATATGAACAATAGCGTAGAAAACGAATCAGTCGATCATGAGACGAATAATTATATGAATATGAATTCAATTGAGTTTCTAAAAACATTATGCAAGACATGCACATTAGCAATTAGTCAAAAACAGAGATACAGATAACAACATGCAGTAGCATAGCAAAGCTAGCCTGACCATCATTACCAGAAATTTAGGACATTAATTATCATAATGCCAGGATTTCGCAATCAAATATGGCTGCCTTGTCATAATAGAAATATATAAGACACGAGATAAAATTTGAAATTAAAGCAACTTCTATCTTACATATTGCAGTTGAGAGCTTCGATTTAAGACGGTCTGAAACTCAGTACTTTTATGAAAATTTTTTTATATATCCATTTTTACATTATTATATATACATGCAATATAATGGTTAGTTGCTGAAATGACATTACTGGGGAACCTCTTAAAGGTATTATAGAAATATGAAAAAAAAATTATAAAAATGCTGAGTTTCTTCCCTTCTTAAATCGAAGTCCGCAACTGCTATATGTAAGACCGAAGTTGTTTTAATTTCAAATTTTGTCTCGTGCCTTATACAGGGTGTATCAAAAAAAATGTCCCAAATGTAAAAATTCCGTTTTTCAGGATATTTTGCAGAATTTGGCAAATTTTTGTGTTCCTAGAGATAGTTAAGACTTATCTGGTATACCTAGGCCAAGTTTGGTTTTTCAGTAACAAAATTATGTTACCGGGGGGGTGGTTCCTTTCCACTGATATTGAGAGGGCTTGCGCGCGATGTGAAGCTGAAATTGAGATATTATTTAGCTGTCTAAAAGTAGGAAAGCTTTTTAATAAACTGTCAAAGTTTCAGGAGAAATAATGCAAATTGGGAGCAACACGCGACCCCTAAATGTGACAAATATTTCATTGCGCGCAGTGGATTAAATGCATCGTTGATTTTAGCGTGACCGATCTCATACAAGGTGGGCAAATGAATAAATTAAAGCGAAAAACTGAACACAAAAACAAAGCGATTTATTCGTGATGTTAATCCTCAGCATGTCCACCATGTCATTCTAAGCAAATTGCGGCTTGTCTGAGCATACTAAACACTGAACAGCGAACCATTTGTCTGTCCATTCGCCTAGATTTGCCGGTAGTAGCGTAGGCGATTTGCAAGAAAGAATTTCGAACGAAATGGATAATTTGAGGCAGGACAGACAAATGTGGTTCGCCGTTCAGTGTTTACCATGCTCAGACGAGCCGCAGTTTGCTTAAAAAGAAATGGTAGAAATGTTGAGGATTAACATCAAGAATAAAAATCTTGTTATCAAACCGCTTCGTCTTCTTGTTCAGTTTCTCACTTATTACTCACTAATTTCTCACTAATTTATTCATTTGCACAGCCTTGCACGAGATCGGTCACGCTAAAATCAACCATGCATTTAATCCACTGCGCGCAATGAAATATTTGTCACTTTTAGGGGTCGCGCGTTGCTCCCAGTTTGCATTATTTTTCCTGAAACTTTGACAGCTTATTAAAAAGCTTTCCTACTTTTAGACAGCTAAATAATATCTCAATTTCAGCTTCATATTTTCGCGCGCAAGCCATCTCAATATCAGTGGAAAGGAACCACCCCCCCGGTAACATAATTTTGTAAATGAAAAACCAAACTTGGCCTAGGTATACCAGATAAGTCTTAACTATCTCTAGGGACACAAAAAATTGCCAAATTCTGCAAAGTATCCTGAAAAACGGAAATTTTACATTTGGGACATTTTTTTTGATACACCCTGTATAATTCTGTTATAACAATGCAACCATCTTTGGTTGCGAAATGCTGGCATTATGAACTTTCATGGTAATTAATGTACTGAATTTCTGGTTATGTTTATTTTCTAAGAATATTTAAAAAAAAAGATAACATTTAACTCTCGTCTGTTCAGCTATAGAGACACGGTACGAAGTCATTTGCCATAAGAACAAAAACGTCTCATCGCAAATAACGTAATACCGCGTGTCTTTAACTGAACGGACAACGGTTAAATGTTATCTATTTGTTTTATATTAATAGAATCGAAAAGCTCCTAAATTAAACGTTCAAATATTTTTTTTCTCTCCAAGACACGTACGAAAATGTAATTGGCTGACAAAATAAGCAAGCGATGATTGACAAAATTCGTTAAAATTTTCTGTGACGTTTTCCGTGCGTCTGTCCTCTTTAAGATCATGGTTCTCGACCAATGAAATTGGTTGGATTCTTTTAAGCCTAAAACGTTATATTATATAAATTAATTGGGGTATCAGGGAGATTAGGACATCCATACCGGTTTTGGAACATTTCACTCCAGCGTCTTGATAATGAGAGCAATAATCAACTCCCCAAGGGCTGTGTGTACAACTTGCGATATTTTGTTCCTCCCCCTTACAAGCGACATAAGCTAACCATATTTGTCCAGAGCCAGAAGGAAAAGTGTATCTTTGAAGTGGTCTGAAAGCATCTCTGTACCCCAGTTGACGACAGGCTACCCTAGCATCCCTCAAATCCCATCCATCATCACAGATTGTTCCCCAATAGCCGTTGTAAAATACTTCAACACGACCAGTACCATTTTCACTTAATGGGCCTTGTAATCTTAGTCTCACAGGTATAGGTGAGAAATCTTAAAAGAACATCGTCGCGCGATTAACGTTTGTATTATTGTCTCTTTCCATATCATGTGATATCATCCCAGATAAAGTCAATGAGACAATGACACGTTCGTATTATAGAGGGTCATAATTTATGGACAAATTTTTTCGAATATTGAGTCTAGACTTTTGGATGGTCTGCACTAGTCGACAGTGATTTAGGGCCTGTTTACATGGAGCAAGTTATCCCGGCTAGGCCAGGTGACAACTACATAAAAATCATAATAAAAGACAAATCAGTTTATGCCATTGATGTGATTCGCCTTCGCTCTATGTAAATAGGCCCTTCGTTGTCGTATTAGTACGGCTTTATTCAAGACGCGCGGTCGACAAAAAGAAGTGAATATCCTTGTTCTCAGCGCAATTTAAAGTGAAATTTGAAGTCGGTTATAAATACAATATGTCTGAAATGAAGTTCATCGGGAACTCAGTCATACCTGTTGTAGTACATTCAACTCCAGCGTCTTCACTATGAGAGCAATATTGAACTCCCCAACCTCTGTGATGACAACTTGTTATATTTTGTTCCTTTCCATTGCAATCGACATAACCCAGCCATATCCGTCCAGAACCAGAAGGAACCTGCCCACCATGAAGTGCCCTAGCAGCATCTTTATAACCAAGTTGACGACATACAACCTGAGCATCTCTTATGTCCCACCGATTATCACAAATCGTTCCCCATTCATTATTGTAGAATACTTCCACACGACCAGTACCATTAGCACTTATCGGTCCTTGCAATCTTATCAATACCTCTTGAAGGTAATGAAAATAGTATTTCAATTACAATAATAAAGAGTTATTTTCGCCAGGAGACAAGTGTTTTGTCCGTTTTAGGCAGTAATATTAAATATATATATATATACACCCATTTGCAAAAACGTTGGCCGCAGATAGATAGATAGATAGATACTCCAAGTCTAATTAGAATTACATATGATTATATTTGCATGGGATTTCAATTATATTACACAACATATGCATTTCTAATTAGATTTCGAGTATCTATCTATTATCTATCTATCTATCTATTAATATATATATATATATATATATATATATATATATATATATATATATGATCTAGGAAAGGTTGCCTCAAAGCCTGTCTCATGATGACGAATATGCCACCATTTTTGGGGTACTTTCCCTCAAAACCGCAAGCATGAGACCTCATAACGGCATATGATCAGAACTGACAGATAATAGTTATATCGTTATATCATATTCTTATGCATTTACTATAGGGAGATTGACGTAAAAACTATAATTATGTCACTGATATCTGTTTCTATCCTGCTGCAGAGATTTAAGATGGCAGCATGCAAGGTTGTTTTGACAACCAAAATCTCGGTTAAATTTTTTTTCCACAAAACGATGTTTTCAGTTCACAGTTTATGGTTGAAATTGGTATTGAAAACTTAGATTAAAAACGTCAGTAGCAGAATAACCAACAACATTTTCGCGTGCCATTTAAATTGTAAACTTTTTTACAGGATGGGCCCAAAAGGCCGAGCTACTTTTTTTATAGACGCACCTTCACACTGTATAGTATAATAAAGTGAAGGGCAATTTTGTTATGTAATGCCACCATGATAAGTTTACCTGTGCTTGAACACTCCACTCCGGCGTCTTGAGAATGAGAGCAATAATTAACTCCCCAACCATTATGAGAGCAACCTCTAATATTATTTTCCTTTCCATTACATGCGACGTGGGCTAACCATATCTGTCTAGAGCTAGATGGATCAGATGGGACCAGGTTTCGGTAAAGCGTTCTGGCATGTACAAGATTTAAATCATAACCAAGTTCACGACAAACAACCCTAGCATCTCTGATATCCCATCCATAATCGCAAATTGTTCCCCAATATCCATGATAGAGAATTTCAACACGGCCGATACCATTCCCGCTTAATGGTCCTTGTAAACGCACTCGGATAGGGTTAGTGTCGAAACCTAAAAGGAATTTCGGATGCCATACGAGAAATAATGGGCTAGTCATTAATTAATTCCGTTGTAGCACAATAATATTATATAATAATATATTTCCCAATCACACTTAGTGGAGTACAGTATGTTATAAGGTTTCTTTAATTGATACGCGAGGTACGAGATCTTTACAATAGTTTTAACTAAAGTTCGCTAATGTTCTCTTCTTTCTCCGTTCTTCTCTTCTCTACTTCTCTATCTTCGTCGTTTTGCGTTCTTGTCTTTGGTCGTCTGTCCTGTAGGTTGAGCTTCTTAACGTTTCATAAGTTAATCTTTACTCCGCTAGTCCACTGAAGGTTCAGGTGCTGTGCACGCCCTTTTATAATGAGGGTTCAGTGACTCTTGCATACGTCATCAACCATAGTGGGCTGATCCTTATCCAGCCAATCAGCGTTGTACATGTAACCAGTGGGTTGGTCTTAGAAGCTCGTTCCAGCTCTCATATCTTGTTTATTTAAGGCGTTGTCGCACTAGTCGAGTTGGTCTTCTGCTCAATCGATCAATACTTAAAAATGTTCACAACTTAAAATATTCATCATCAACAACTAGTAAAATATACCAACAATACGTCTGTGAACAATATCTTTTAACTTAAACTATTTTCACTCTTATTTTATCGAATTGAACTTGTGATGACGTAATCTATTACATGCTTGACCGAGCAACATTTTTAACACAATTGATTGACATATGAACTTGAATGGCCTACAGCGCGCACACTTTTTTTAAAGAATGCGACCATTAAGATAAGTGACGACTTACGAATGTTTATCCAGGTATTAATTCTGAGAGGATTATATTTATTTTCACCTTATTACTTATTTAATCCCACGATATGTCATACATGAAAGGGAAAGGCGATTAATGGTTGCGAATGGGCCGAAATTATATTTACTCAGGCGTCTTGCGGCAAAAATTAATCACTAATCCCTGTCATGCTCTTGTTATTCCTATTTTTGCAGCTGTTTTTATACTATTTTTGTATGCATATAACTAAACATAATAAAGCCTTGCGTAACAATCCTCCTCACCTAGAATAAGCTGTCCCCAGCTTCGTGTGAGCTATAACGAACTTAAGTTAAATATATACCATACATATATGTGTCTACAATTTCCCAACTATTTTAATTTTCTTTTGAGCTCGGCGTGGCTATCACGGGCATATTACCAAATGCCTAATAACTGAGACTATACACATAGTACGTGTTGTTAAACTACGACAACACTACATACATAACTTAATTATGCCTATATGTACCTCAGGGGTAATCTACAATTTAGAATATTCCGTTTACTAAGCGTAGCACAATATAGACGAAAACAACTATTTACATGAAGGCAGGGGCGAAACTGCTTGCCTTCCTAAACGGATGACTCCTGGGACAAGTTGTTAGAAACGGATGGGCATCGGGGCAACCCACAGTCAACACATTCGTTCTGCATTGTCATGTCCTGTAACTCATATTGATCGTTGTTTATCTCAACGTCAACGTCACCTTGGTTAATGTCAGTTTGATCAACGTCAGCTGATGTATCAGATTTTTGAAAACAGTTCCGTTGTTTCAGTATGTATTGATAAAGGCAGAATACTGTCAAAAGTACGAGCGCACCCCAGAGTAGGGAACCACTTAAACCTCCCAAAACATCATGAAAGAGATCCACCTGCGCCACGGGCAGCGTGCTCAAATGCGCGACCGGATGAATCTATAACGTTTCTGTGGCTTGCCTAAGCTGGTAATGACTTTTTCATCGAGATTGCCAAGGCCCGTTAATCCGTCATGTAACGCTGATCCTACAGCCTTTATGATATGACTTCCACCGGAAGATATGCCTGATAGAGTAATACCGATTATTATTTTGCCTATTCCTAATGCGACGTTATTATCCTCGTCTGCTGCTCGAATGTTGTCTAGTTGTTCTATTGTTTCCTGAGTCTGCGCAAGAATATCAAGGAGCGAGAATGTTTCAAATGGCTCTGGAATATATCGTAGTAATCGTGGATTAAGATCGCCAAGTTTTAGTATGGAATTGGAGAAGGCCGGTAAATAAGTCTTGGTATAATTAGTTTTAAACGCAGTGCCATTGCGGTTGATATACCACAAAGTTCCTGAATGATCAGCAATATATGTGGCGTCCGGAATATTATCACATGGTATTGACTTAGAATGGCTATAAAGTCGACGTTCGGTAAGTGAGAGATACTGAATCTGATTGTTTGCATGAAGATAAACTGGAAACTTCGAATAACATGTACCGTTATAAGTCCGATTTAAAAATAAAGTGTAAGTTGGTTTCATTATAACATCGACTCAACAGATATGCATCTCCATTTGGGCTTATTGTGTGACCTTCTCTGCTAGAGAACCATCGGGAGCTACTGTGGGGGAAGTTTTCAATTGCCCACCTGTATATCCTAGACATTTGTTGGCGTTGGCGACATATGTTTCCCATGAACGAATCATATTTATACGTTCCTGTTCAGACAAGGCAGCTAAATGACTAACGAATAAGTTAACTTGTACGGAGAACACGCGTGCAAGACTTCTAGTAGCCTGACCAGCCATTTTAAGGTGCACATCCCTAACTTTTAATGACTTCAGTTTGTTTTCGAGTTGGGCTAGTGTGCCGTTACGATGTGCTAAATTAATAATATATCCGGTATCAAGAACCATAATTGTTTTTTCGCGGGTTTCTACAACTGTGCCGCTAATGCTCAGAGATGGAATGAGTATGTAATTATCAATGCGATGCGCTGTAAATTTACCAAGCGAATGATACAACCGGGTATCATGGTGCCTGAGTTTTTTCCAAACAATCGAACTTTTAGGTTTTTCGCGGGGTCGACAGTAATATCGAGAATAACGACAATGAGTATGTGTCAAGTGCTGTTGAATATACCTATCCTTTCCTGTAAGTCGTGCTAAATATTGAATCACTCGAAAATGAATATAAGTATTCGTCCTAGTTTTCAGCCACTTACAGCTATATGAATCAGGGGTATGAGTTCGCCATTCTCCATGTGAATGCTGTTTCAGTTTTCCATAGCGTGTCTTATGATGAATTACCGCTTTAATACATTCGCGATTAGAAACCGAAATTGTATGCAAGGTATGATGTCTGCTTTTGTGACCGAAAAAACTTCAGAACACGTCATCCGTAATCGTTGGGCAGTGCAATGAAAAATAGGCAAACTGGAGCTCCTTGGCGAATATTGCAAAACATCAGCTTCGAAATATTTAACTTTAGAATCACTTAGGTGCATATCATGTTCACAATGTGAATAATCGGTAAACTTATATAGTGCGGTATGGTATACGCGTGAACAGTCGTAAAGAGGTCCAAGATTAATGGGGTGAGCAGACCCTATTGTGATACATGTTACTAGTAATATCAATATTGCGACCAGATGATATACTGATCTGAAAATGCGTTGTGCTAACTTGGAATTCCGCTGCTGGTTCGATGTCAAGGTCAAGGAGTTGATAGAGGGTTGTTCTTGTGTTACCATATCAGATTCTGTCACCCACGAATTTTGTTCACTCGGAAAACCTAACCATTTTACTAGGTATTCTTTCTGACCCTTTCTTAAGCGTGTCTTTAAAACTTTTTCAATTTGGTATATTTCATCGTCATTAGAATGATCTGGCTGATTAGGCACATTTGAGGCATGCGTTTTCAACGTTATTTCTTGCGTTTCCTCGTCAGGGTGTGATTCAGTGTCGCTTGTGGTCTCAAAGCTGTCAAGTGGAATATCGTCTTCGCGCATACTAAAATCATCATCAACTAAGTCATTAGGAGGCTCAATTGGTCGCTCATTTGCGTCATAAAAGAGTTTCATACGATTGACATGTACTGGTGTCGCGATTAGGCGATTTGCTAAATTCCTCAACTTAAAGTTGACAGGTGATACTTTCTCCGCAATGCGATAAGGACCATGCCAACAATGTAACAATTTCTTTGACAAACCCTTTTGGGTCTTTGGGGTAAATACCCAGACTCGTTGTCCGATTCTATAGGTATCTGGTTTCGACTTTAAATCATAGCGGGCTTTCATTTGTTGTTGTGTTCGTTCTGTGTTTGCTTTAGCTAATCGCTGCGCTTCCTCTAACTGAGAGACGATACGGGCCCTGTGCTCCGCAATGGATGTCGAGAGCTTATCAGTTTGCGGCGGTAATATATTGACATCTATAGGTAAGCGTGGTTCGCGCCCATATAGGAGATAGAATGGGGAATCCCCAGTTGTCGCCTGTGGTGAGGTCCTATACGCGAACAATATTGATGGTAAAAACTCATCCCAGTCTTTTTGATTTGCCGACACATACATTGATAATGATTGTGAAATAATGCTATTAAATCGTTCGACAAGCCCGTCCGTTTGTGGATGATAGGCGGTTGTGTTCAGTTTCTTAATATCTAAGAGACCGCATACTTCACGGATTAACTTTGACAGAAAATTTTTACCTCTATCTGAAAGCAACGTTTTTGGCGCTCCATGTCGACAAAATATTTCATTCACAAGCAATTTAGCTATTACTGAGGCTTCAATTGTCGAAACTGCAAATGCCTCTGGCCAACGTGTAAGGTAATCTGAAAACACTACAACATATCGGTTGCCTGAATACGATTCCGGATATGGCCCTAAGCAATCCACAGCGACTCTATCAAACGCTCCGTCGACAGGAATTGGTAATAAAGGAGCCTTAATCCTATTTCGCGGTGTCTTACGCGTTTGACAATCAATACACGACCTTACCCAATGCTGTATGTCAGTGAACATACCGGACCAATAATAGTGCGTCCTAATTTTCTCGTACGTCTTTTCTAAGCCTAAATGTCCGCCTAGCGGGCTATCATGAAATGATTTTAATATTTCGAAACGCAAGGGAGTGGGTATGACTAGTTGAATTTTAGTATCGGGACGATTTCGCCCCGCCGGAGTCAACAAATGATGCAGTAAGCCATGTTCG